CGGCGACGGAAGTCCCTCGGGGTACGTGTTTTGCCGCGGCTGCCTCACCTCTTTCAAAGAGACGCTCGCTCCTGGCGGGAGCCGAGGCTGCTGCCTCGGAGACCTTCCAGACGCTAATTCTCCTGTGGATGACCCTGTCCCGTGCCAGGAACTGCAGCGGGGCTCAGACAATCCAGAGCGGGAGAAATAAGCAATTATGTCTTTCCTCGGGCTGAATAGCAAGGCTGGATTCTCTGTTTTCCCTTGTTAGATCTGAAATCGCTCTTCCTGTGAACTTCAAGCTCTGCTAATTGTAGAAGTGTCGTTTTTATTTGCAGGTAATCGCGCAGCAGGAGCAGAAGACCCAACCGACCCGCAAACGATGCTGGAAGTAAGCTGATTTGATTCTGACTGCAGACGGGAGCAGGATGACTGGGCACAAAGAGCCTTAGCTAGCGGGATTTCCGTATGGTGTATTTATTGAAGCATATGGATGTGCCTAGTGCCAAAACACCGCTGACAAACTGGCCTGCACCGGACTTCACCAGAGCAGCAAGAGCAGCTACTGCTGCCTGCAGCCAGGCTAGCTACTGGTTACAGGTGCCTTATCTCAGGAGATGCTCGGGTGAAGCGTTAATTCTCGGTATTCACAGACTTCTCTAATTGAAAGCTAGCCTCCTTCACATGGCTCAACAAATGCGAAGTAGTTAATGTAAATACAGTGATTGCTTGATTGTTTCAATATACTTCTAACCGCATGCAGGGCTAGGACCATTCAACAGGAGCTGTCACTCTTTACTGATGTTTTTCAGTAAGAAATCAGACTGGCAAATCAAACTACAATTTCCACTTGAATAATGACTAGCAAAGTGTTTGGGGTTTGGTTTTAATATCAGTATAGTAGCGTAACTCAGGTATATGATGTACATACTTCTCCACCTGCCTCTTTTCTTCCTCTTTCATGTTTTGGGGAATTTTCTTCCAAAGCAGAACACATGGAAAGCTAGACAAATTTTGCTCTATGCACGTGCTCGTTCCTTTAGCTGAGATTTTCACTGAGCTGCTGAATTCCTGTGACCTAAGAATGATTCATTCAGAGAAAAATCCTTTGATCTATGTAAAGAATTCACACTATTTATTTTAAAGCACTTCTAAGTCATTAGAGCTTAGCCAATATTACTTCTGTTAATGCAGAATACTAGGGTTTTCCTTTACTAATCCCAGAGACAATCCAATTTTCTTATGTTGTCCAACCGGTACACCCCAGTCTAAACCAGAAAGATGATTTTTGGAACTGGAGTATGAATTCTAACAGAAGCACATTTGGTCTCATTGCAAAGACTAAAATCCAAAGTAATGCCAGATGCGACAGTGCCTTCTGTAACGTGAGCAACTGTCTGTGAAGAACCATGCTGAAATCCTTCCAATACTGCAAGTAAGTTTCTACATGGCCATCGAATGGAGAAAGAAGCATTTGATGAACTCCTGTCGACTCAGGCTGGGCGAAAACAATTTGGGGACTGGAAAAGAAACATAATTTCAACTGAGAAAATAGCCTAACTCATCTCAATATTTAAAACAAAAAAACCCCTACCTACCAATTTTCTGATATTTATTTTATACGTTTTAGATTCTTCAGCAACAGCTGGAATCATTTCAGACATTTCAGCAACAGAATCTGGAGAATATTAACACGGTAAAAGTAGAACGCAAATGCTCTTAAAATACAAAAGCCTCCTGCTGCATTTTTAGATACTGTCATAGGTGTTTTAAGTAAGATCTAGTCTTAGTCTATTGTGTACATTAAGTATACATTTAATCATCTGTCCATCTTAAAATAGCTGATAAGATAACCTCACTTCTAGGTTCTTGCTATTTCTTAGTCACAGTATTATTTGCGGGCTTATAAAAACGATTTATAAAAACCTGAGAAAAACAGAGGAAAAACAAAAGTGAGTTAGGAAAAAAAAAGGGAAGGACTAGATCCTTCTCTCATTTATATCATTGTAAACTCAAGGAAGCTCTGTCGTTTTCAAAGGAAGTTCATTCCACATTATGTCACTGTCAGCAGAACCTGTTCTATTGTTGCAAACCACCATGTTTCACAAAAGGCTCAGCCACCTTTTCAGGAGCAGTTTTCTGCCATCGTTTTATCTGGTTCTTTATATAAAAGCTAAATATCTGATGCTGGAAGGACATTTAGCTTTACGCTTTGCTTGTTTATAACAAGCAATATAACAATTCCATATTCCTACATGCCACTTCCATCTGGTCTGTCCTTCCTAAGAGAACTTCTTGAGTAATAGGATATTTTTGGAAAATGAAATATTTCTACATTTAAGTTTTCTGTAAACAGTCTCAATCTTTTTCAGGTACAGTCTAAAATCCGTGAGATACTAAACAAAAATATATTTGAAAGGAAAACTCCACTATGTAGTTCAGACAAGATTCTGATGACTTGCACACCAAGTGATGGATCTCTGGTATGTTTAACAATTTTTACCTACAAACAAGTTATTCTTTAGCTGGACCTTGGCTTTTGAGAGTGACATGGTTTTTGGAAAATAACCCAAGGGGTATTCTGGATTTTTTAAAAAATAACAGTCTTCTCCCTCAGATTTTTCTGGGTAGCAGAACTTTAGCCATAACTACATATACTATTCCCTCCCACCCATTGTGATTAAAATTCAGTTTCTCTTCTGCACAGGTAAAACTGTAACCTGATCTTCCCCAAATCAGTTTGGATTATCTTCAGTGGGCATGGAATGCAATGCAAAGCATATAGGAAGGCAGGGCAGAGAGTCAAGGAGAGAAGAGACAGAAATGAGGAGAGGGAAGAAATTTTGTCCCTCTCCTATGAAATGCTGCATAAACCCTACTTTTTCTGTCTATATTTAGTGTGAACTCCAGTTTGCCCTTATTTCACAGGGACTGGTATGACAAAAACAATCGAAGACAAACTATAGTCTCCTTAAGTCATCTCTGCTCTGCTGGAAATATACTTAATCAATTTAAGACACTTACTTGGTATTTTGTGCCTGCTCCAAAGCCCAGTACTGAGCGAAATGGGGCCTGCGATAATTGTTTACATTCTTTTAAGGGGTAAATGGCACTAGCAGAGGTAAACTGTACAAGTCTTGATTGATAAGTGGCTTTGGTAGCAATTTAGTTGTCTTATGCTTCCAGTACTGCAATGTTCCACAATTTTTACAGTGTGACAATTTTTTGTACATTTGTTTTTAATTTTGTGGGGTAGCTTATGGAAAATCCTGAATCGCCGCCTTCTAAGAGAAAAGTTCATCATGATCAACAACCCTGTTCAGATGAGCATGTGGAAGCAAATTCCAATACTGGAAATGTTGTCAGTGATATAAATATTCCACAAGGGATTTCGCTTAAAACTATAGCAACTGAAAAGGTTGAAAATGCAGACGATCTGTTTGGAAACAACAGGATACTCGCAATAAAAGATGAACATAAACGTGGACATTTGCTATCTGGCACTGATTTGGAGACAGAAAGGTTGAAGGCTGCCCATGAGAAGGTCATTCTGAGTGAATGTAAACATCATATACCTTTTCCCAAATTTGGGAAAGAATTTAATAGAATAGACAATACTAACTATCCTACCACGTTGCTGAAACAAGCATTTCAGAAGTCAGTCCGTAATGATTTGGATTTGTTAGCAGATAATACAGAAAAATCTGGGGTTTTTTACAGAGAAAAATTAAATAACTTCAAAGAAAGTGCAGAAATTGTGACCTCTCTAGATGAATCACACCTTGGTTTAATTCCAGTTAAAGAAAATGGCCTACATTTTGATCTAGAATTTTATAAAGACTCCAAATGTGCCGATGTATGGGGTGGTTCTCCTACAACAGTATACAGTGAAAAAGCAGAATCTCAAAGCAAAAATGTACACAAAGAATTTAGATTCAATTACAGTGAAGGTGACAGGTTCCAGGTTAATTCTTTTTCCGAGATGGTGAAAGATAGGCTACTAATGCTTGATAACAAAGGGCAACTAAAAAAAGAAAAAGAACAACAACAGACTACGTTGCCGAGGCCAGGAAATCAGAAGTTCAGCAAAATCAAAGTAGCCTCTGAATATGATGGCAAAATTGAAGCATTGCAAAAGTCCCTGAAAAATTCTGAGCATTTGCAAAAAACAGTACGTGATCTCCTGAATGAAAATGTAGCTCTCAAGAACAAAGCGGAACCTCTTACTGTTGCCATACAGTCTTCAAAAGAAAAAATATCAAAATGTAATATGCAAATTAAGGATTTAGCTGAAGAAAAGAAAAGTGTGCAAGTCCAGTTGGTTAAATCACAAGAAGATAACAAGGAATGTATTAAGGAAGCAAAGAACTTCTTAAGGAAATGTAAAGAACTCCAAAACCAGAAGAACATCCTTGACAAAGAGAGGAATCGACTCCATAATGGAAACCAACATTCAATACAGACACAACATGATTTTCAAATTAGGAACCAGAAAGTAGAAGAGAAGATGACTGCTGTTTCCTGTGAAGGAGAGAGGCTCAGTACAATGCTAAAGCTCTTGCAAAAGGAATGCTTCGAGTTACAAGAAACAAATAAAAAACTTAGGATAGAAATATCCCAGCTTACAAAAGAAAATAGTTCCCTAGAGCAAGATCTTGAAAGAAATCAGAGTGAAATGCAACAAATAAAAGAAAAAGGAACCGCAACGAAATCTGAACTGGAAACTCATCTTCAGTTAATGCAAACACTGGAAGCCAAAAAACTTAACCTTGAACTGACCCTGCAGGAATGTTCTGATACTAACCAGATGCTGCAGAAGGACTTTGAGAAACTCCAATCAGATAAAGCTTATACAGAAAAGAAACTCATGACTGAACTCAGAAATGCAAAAGCAGATATCTATCTTTTAAAGTCTAACTTGACCAGTGCAAACGGAGAATGCAAGAGGTTTTCAACAGCCGTAACAAATGTCACAGGGGAAAATCGGTTCCTTAAGAAAGAACTGCGGGAGTATAGACAAGACACTTCCAAATATGAAGGTGACATTAGAAAATTGACCGAAGAACGCTTACTATTAGAAAATCTCCTGTGGACTACTGAAAATGAGAGAGATGTATTACAGTTTGAATTCCGCCATTTGCATAAGGATTATATTTATCTCCGATGCCAAGCTACAGCTCTAGTCTGTGGGCAAAGGAAACCTGGTTACCAGGTACCATGGTACTCGTATCATGCAATATAACTGTTACTCTGAATATTCCACTAGAATGTGTACAGAAATTTCTGTTCTAAGTATAAAGCCTTGGAATACGATTCACAAGGTGAACTTTATTCTACAATATCTTATTAGCCGATTTTCTCTTCCAGGCAATTCCTGATAATCTACAACAGTCCGTTGCTTCAAATAAATCTTAATAAACCGTTTTCTTTTGTAAAACATTTACAATTCTGATGTCCAGTCATTTCCATGTTTTTGTTAAGTTCTAAAAAGAACTGCCTGTTTTTTTGATACATGGCTGAATTTCACAGATTCATAAAAGCAGATCCTTACGCAATGTAAGCAGCGTAAAGAAATTTAATGAAACTTGTGACAGTTTACAAGAGATAGAATTCTGTCCCTAGGACTTCAGAGTCGGAGGGGAATCTTAACAACCTTTTAGCTGAACAGCTTGGTACATGCCGCAAGATTTCACTGGTTATTTCTGCAAGAAGTCCTAAATTAAGTTTCATCTATGTTTGCGTACGTTTTAGATGACATCTAATTCTGGTCTATGTTTAATCAACACAAGGTACCCTTTATCTCTTTATACTAGATACTGACTTAGAAAGCTCATTAATTAAAACATGAATTTTAACATTTTCAGTGCAAACATATTCAGAAACAATGGTCATAGCTATGAAAGGCGCAAAAATTATCCTCTTGGATATAATCACTGCAGAAATACTCCGATTTTCTCAGCCAAGGGACCATGGGGAGGAAGAATTTCTCAAACATACTGCATACAATATTCTGTGAAGTTGAAGCTGCCTGTATGCAGTGTCTCTACAACAGTATTAGGACTACTTTTTTAGGAACTTCTTTTTTTACTCACTCCTTAATAAATAAACCCATGAAAGTAAAACGATGTAATTAGTTACTGGTGTTTCCAGAACAGACTTAGAGGTAATTATTTATCTTCACTTTCCTACTAGTACAACACTAGGTGTACAAGCTCCTGGCCAACAAAGGGCATGATCTCGTCAGAGACATAAAAGTAATCCATTTCTTCCTATTTCTCCAATAATTCATAAAGACTGATTGCAGAAAATTAACAATTATTTATCTGGTTTGTAATACAAGACTGTAAATGTAATAGAGCGTGGTTTTGTATCATCACTGATACATATAGTAGAATGACTAAAAACTACATTAGAGATCTAAGTCTAGTTCTTAATGCTTTTTCCTGTAAAAAATGTTTAAAAGATACAAAAGGGTTCGTTGTGTTTTTTAATGGAGATAGGCAAAAGTATCATGCCACAATTTTGCATTGCACACCCAAAGTCAATAAGGACATTAAAATGGTAAATACTTGGACTATGGAGTAGATGGTCAGGTGTTTAATTGCATTTAATGCTTGCATAAACATGAAGTTGCTTCAGACTGTAGCTATTAAATTGTGGTCAGAATCAGTTATAAAGGTGACTGGCTATATCTATACTGTAAGGATGTAGGGAAGCTGTTATTATGAAAACAATGTAAGTAATGTCTAAAGTCCTCCTTACCTTAGATAACTGGGTAATGAAATTTAAGAAAGTTCTAAATTCCACCATCACAGTCAAAGGTACTGCCAAGACGCCAAGGGACACAATTATCATTTGTATTAAAACAGCATACTGAGGCTCTAGGTAGAATTGGGTGTCGGTTCCTTGGGACCACACATTTTCTGGTGGGGACTCATCAGGTGAAGTTATTGGCTCCCATGATGACCACACGAGGCTACTGCACATACACTAACATCTTCTCAAACAAGCTGGATTGATTATTTCTTTTTAAATTAAACTCCATGCATTTTAATCAGCTTTCAGTATTTCCATCTTGTTAGTGAATGAAAAGATTATTGAAATACAGAAGAAAATAGAAGAGGAAGGATTGCAAAAAGAGAAGAGACAGAAGGACATGAAGAAAAACTTCAGAGCAGCCCTCATCAGCTGTACTACATCAGAACACCAGTTAGGAGGAAGTACAGTACAGTTCAATCTACCGAGGAATGCTATGTCTGCAGACTTCACAAGCGAATAACATGGCAAATGTTCCAAATACTCTTGTCCTGGTTTTGGCTGGGATAGAGTTAATTTCCTTCCTAGTAGCTGGTACAGTGCTGTGTTTTGGATTTAGGATGAGAATAATGTTGATAACACACCGATGTTTTAGTTGTTGCTGAGCAGTGCTTACACAAGTCAAGGACCTTTCAGCTTCCCATGCTCTACCGACTGAGAAGGCTGAAGGTGCGCAAGATCTCAAGATCTCAAGGTAAGGGTTTTTATGCTTCAATACATGCTGGAAGACCTCACCAACAATTCTTGGTTTTATTTTTATTTTCATTGATGCCAGGAACTGTGAGATCCAGTCTGCAATATCTTTAAAAAACTATTATCCTGTGAACAGCAGTAAGGACACCATTTCATGAATATTCTACAGTGGTATGATAATCTTGAATAGAAATTAATAAAGAAATTTTGTCTTCATGTAATAATTTGGATAAATACATGCTGAGTATTTTTTTATTTTTTATAATAAATTAGCTTTGACTTACATGAACAAATTTCTTGGACCACATATAAAAACCTGACAAAAATTACTAAGATGGAGGTAAGGTGTACATGTAGGATCACAGTCCCATCTGAGAAGCAGCTAGTTTGAAAGACGGATCAGATTTGTTAGGAACCTTCCATGTACGCGAAGTGAAATTAAGCTGCTCCTAGAGAATATGGCAGGACTTACGGTTGTCAGGAAATTGAGGAAGAGTGGTAAATAGATGCTGGTAAATAGAGATGACTCCTCCCTTCATAACAGCCTGCTTGTGGTCTGGTTTTGAACAATGCTTGATATTGGTCATTTTGAGAAGGTCATCAAAACTAAAAATTATGTATTTTTAAGACAGTTCTTACACAAAATTGTAGTTGAAATAAAGTACAAGTTGTAATTCTACAAAAGGGAAACAATGACCTTAGTTTCACTGTGGGCCACGTGTGACTAACTTGGTTAATACATACGTTATACTCACTTTAAAATATATGCACTTTCTGCCACTGCAATATATAGTCAATTTGCAACCCAAATTACTCATTAGAAAGTATGTTTTCTAAAAGTACATTTCAGAAGTCCAGTTAAGCAATAAGATGAAAAATTACATAAAAATACAACCTTGGATTTAATAAATAAATGATCTTAAATTATTTATTATAGCTTTATATTTAGAAACAAAAAATTGCATTCTTAACAATATAAGATTGGATTGTCCTATATACTTGAACTCCACTTTTCACATTTTATTTGCTTTGTTAACAGTTTACAGAGTCTAAAAAGCATACCCTTCATTTCAACCTTTTGTATCTAATAAGACATAAGCTGTGCAGTCTTGTAGTTCTTTACATTTAATGATCTGAAATGTAAATGAAGAGAAACTTATTAGATTTTTGTAGAATATCACTGTACAAATTACAAGAGTTTTTGTAAAAACGAAAAACTGCGGTACACCCAGTCCTGTAATTAGATTTAATGACTTGAATCCTCGTGAAGTCAAATTTATTTCAACAGAGCTCTGCGTGAGAGCAAGAATCTACATTAGCAAATCCAATTATAGGATTATGGTCCAAATATCAGAAGATAAGCTTTCCATTGGAAAGTACATAAAGAACTGTAATTCAGTGCAGAAGCAGATGATTTGAAAAATGTCTTCCCACATTTCTTAAAATCTATGACCTATGAGCTTCATACGTATAATAAATGCAGTTCACAATTCTCATTCTATTAAACCTAGGAATAATGAACCAAGAATAAATACGTTCTTTAAAATTCTTAGGAGGGAAATAGCAGTGGAGAATTTGAAATACTACTTTTAATTTCTCTCTGGAATTTCTGTTGGACATGTGAGATTTTTCTCTTTACAAATATTTTTGATGAGTCCACCATATCCGTGAGCACATAGTGATACTTCACAACCAGTTCCTCTCTTTCAATTTTGAAACCTACTTCACATACAGTTAGGTTTTTTCCCCCCGATAAAAACATTTCATTTCGGAACGGAATTTTTATTCCGTTGATAAAACAGTAATACAAACAATTACACTATACGAAGGCTACTCAGACCAATATACCATTCTTTTTCCCTTTTACTAGTTTACTAATGAACACCAGTGCATACATGGAAGGTTGTACTTTCTTACATCAGTGTTGGTAGTTACCACGCTTTTTGGGGTACCAAAAAGTTACTTTCAACTCTTTTTTACTTTCCATTAGTAATGAAAAGCAATGTGGAGTAATATGTAGCTTCTGGTTCTGCCTTGTCAGTGTAAATAAAACTTCAAACTATCCCTGCAACTTAAAAAGTGATTATGCAAATGCCAATACATGGTGAAATGAAGTAAATAGAACAGCAATGGGTGAATAAGAGAGGTGCATTTCTCAGACTTCACATGTGATATGTAAAAGACAAATCACAAATGTGAAGCAGATTGATCTAAGAGTTTTTCACATTTTAATCAAGTATTTCTAAAATATTTCGTGTTACTCATGGAGTATGCAAAATAATATGCTTAACTGTTCTACATGCAATCTTAGAAGTCTGCATTTGAAAGTGATTTCTCTAAATAACTCTAACGAACACAGTCTTGATTTTCTGCTTGAATTACAACAGAGCCAAAACCAGAAAATAAATTTGTTTAAATATAAGGGTTATAGGTTAGTGAGATAAAAAAGTAAAGAATTATGTGCTTATCTACCTATACACTGTGTACTATAAATCTCTTCTAACATTGCACAGTGACATGTTTATAGTTAGGAATCCACTTTGAGCGCCATTGTTTCAAAAGCTTCACAGGCTTAGACTACCTAATATTTTGTTTGCCAGCAGAGGGAGCCAATTTTATTCCATAAACATAAGGGAAAACAAAACCAGATTTTGTTTTTAACAGGAACGTTCCTGGTCTTTTTACATTTATCAAGTCAGAAAAGAATAAAAAATAATAATTTTCCAGTGACGTCTGTATAGCATGATTTTGAAGGTCTCTATGATACGTATAGCCTTATAAAGTAACCTGAATTTACAGGAGAGAGTAGGAATAAATCTTGAAAGCCAAGTTCCTTATACATTTCCTATCCTTCTGTTAATAATTCTTTCCTTCATTTATTCGATTATTTTAGACAGTAATAAACAGCTGTGCTAATGACT